CACATCAGTGACGCATGTCTGAAAGTGAATGAGGATAAAGTGTCTTTTTTGTTTGCCATACAGAACAAATACCACTTAACCAAACCCCAAAGGTTTCAGTTAATAATTAAAACCCATGTGCTCATGTGACTTCAGAATCACACAACAATGGTCATAAGAAGTCTATTCATTCTCAGAATGTAATAATAATTATTTCTATAGAACTGTCCCTGTACTCATGTATTCCTGTAAATGCAGCTCAATATGTACAAAAGAGAAGGAAAATTCATTCAGTACAAAGGATACTACTGCTATGAAACTGATCCACATGCAGAGGCACCTCATTATATAGCCAGGCAAACACCACTGAAAACACAGGTTCATGCTAAACCTGTTGACTTCATATACTGTAGAATCAAGAACAGAGAAGAGGAAATGCATGTCAGAGGTCTGGAGATTCTGCTGGGTTGGTGTTACAACTTCCTATCTCAAGGTATCCTTTAATTGCACTGCTAACAATCGCTATGGTAAGTACATTATAATGTCATTTTAATATAATCTTGTATTGCAAGCATAATTTCTTTCCCCTCTTGAATTGTAGTGAATTCAACTGGTCCACAGTGAAGAACTACAGTGAAAAATCCAAATATGTGAAATGCAAGAATAATTAGTGCCTTCTCATCCACTACTGGCTGAGTGTCTGTCTTCTTCTTGAGTGGGTCAGAGCAACTGCTCGCCTGATTCTTTTCTCTCTTTCTGTGGGCTGATCAAACATGGAGCAAGAAAAAAGCTTGGTAAAACACTCACATGACAGTGCCCCCTTGTCCCTGTCATTCCCAGCCTATTTTCACACCCCATAAGTAGTAAGTACACTCATTGGCCACTTTAATAGGAACACCTGTACCCTTATATCATTCATGCAATTATCCATTTAGCCAATCAGGCGGCAGCAGCGCAATGCATAAAATCATGCATACAGGTCAACAACATCAGTTAATGTTTACATCAAACATCAAACATGGGGGAAATGTGATCACAGTGACTTTGACCATGACATGGTTGTTGGTGAGAGATGGGCTGGTTTGAGTATTTAAGAAACTGCTGAGGAGACTGGTTTCGAACTGACAGGAAGGCTATGGCAACTCAAATAGCCAGTCCTTACAACTGTGGTGAGCAGAAAAGCATTTCAAAACACACAATTCATCAAACCTTGAGGCAGATGGGCTACAACACATCAGGTTCCTGTTAGCCAAGGAATGTGAGGCTACAGTGGACACAGGTTAACCAAAATTTGATAGTTGAAGAAAAAACACAGGTGATGTTTGTTTAATCTTCAACTGTCCATTTTCAGTGACCCTAGAGATCAGCAGTTTCTGAAACACTCAATCCAGCCTGTCTGGCACCAACAACCATGCTGTGGTCAAAGTTATGGAGATCACATTTTTCCCCCATTATGATGTTTGATGTGAACATTACCTGAAGCTCTTGACCTGTATCTGAATGATGTTATCCGCTGTGCTGCTGCCACATAATTGGCTGATTGAATAATTGCATGAATCATCAGGGGTTTTGTGAGTGTATAAAGGGCATAAAGACAGTTTAATGAAATAATTAGGGAATGAATGGGTTCTATTTCTCCTGTCTTAACACACTTTTTGTTTGTGTGTTCCAACAAAGTCAAGAAGTGACTTATGGAGAAATATTAACAGCTTTTGCCTACAGTGATACAGGTAACCTATAAACACTATGCAAAGTATTCCACATCCTCCACTGTCTAGCTAACCAGTAGGACTGTAGCTACTTGCTGCTAGCATGGTTAATTGCTTTTCCCTTGATACTCAACACTAGGGCTGGAGTCACGCTTCCCTTTGTTCGCCCTCATTCTCTCTGTGGGGTTTGTTTCTCCCTCAGCACTAATCTCACAATGGCATGGTGATAAATGCCAACATGGCATGATCAGCTGGCACATTTAGACCCTTCTTTTAGTCAAATATCCATGTCCAACGATGACTGATAAACATAATAAGACACCACAGCAATCCAAGGCCATTTCTTGGCAAATTAATGAATAGGCAGCAGACTAATATGAGGAATCATGAGCAGATCAGACTGGGCTACGTGCCTGAATGAGATGTCATGTTACTGGTGGTCTCACAAATCGAAGCACTACATGAAGGGTGAAGAAAAGGATGTTTTGATCACAGTTAAATGTAAGAATATTTTGTATAAGACTTTTTCACACTTTCATGTTACAAATGTTGAAGTGTAAGTAGTAGCATTTCAAAATTTCTGCTGAGATAGTGAACAATGGTATCAAATACAGCTCGCAATCACTGCAGCGTCAACATCAAACATCTGCAGCTCCTGCCGCAGACTACGACTACTGTACATATTTGGACAGTGACACAATTAGATGTTCAGCTTTAATTCAAGGTGTTTAACAAAAATATTGCATCAACCCTTTACAGCCATTTTTTCATAGGCCCTCCATTTTCACAGGCTCAAAAATAATTGGACAAACTAACATAATTATATAAATATATGGATTAATTTTAATACTTGGATGCAAATCCTTTGCAGTCAATGTCTGCCTGAAGTCTGGAAACCCTGGACATTACCAAATGCTGAGTGTCCTCCCTTGAGATGCTTTACCAGGCATTTACTTCAGCTGCCTTCCGTTGTTGCTTTTTTTTGGGGGGTGTTTCTGCCTTTAGTTTTGTCTTCAGTAAGTGAAAAGAATGCTCAGTGTCAGGTGACTGACTCAGTCAATTAAGAACATTTCATTTCTTTACCCTAAGAAGGTCTTGGGTTACTTTTGCGGTATGTTAAGGATGTGTTCAGTTCCATCTGAACTGTGAAGTGCCATCCTATCAGTTTTGCAGCATTTGACTGAATCTGAGCAGAAGGTATAGCTCTATACACTTTAGAATTCATCATGCTACTTCTATTAGCAGTCATATCATCAATAAACACCAGTGACCCAGTTCCATTGGCAGCCATAAATGCTCATGCCATAACACTGCCTCCACTATGTTTGACAGATGATGTGGTATGCTTTGGATCGTGATGCCTTCCTTTCCTATTCCATATTCTTCTCTTAGCATCATTCTTGTACAAGTTAATCTTGGATTCATCTGTCCAAAGAATCTTGTTCCAGAACCAGGCAGGCTTTTTTAAAGTTGTTTTCCAGCCTAATTGGTCTAATCTGGCCTTTCTGTTCTTGAGTGTTACCAGTGGTTGCATCTTGAGGTAAGCCCACTGTATTTACATTCATGAAGGCATCTCTTGATTGTAGACTTTGACAAAGATACACGTAACTCCTCAAGAGTATTCTTGACTTGGCTAGATGTTGTGAAGGGGTTTTTCTTCACCAAGGAAATAATTCTGCGATCTTCCACTTTAGTTGTCTTCCAAAGTCTTCCAAGCCTTTTGGTGTTGCTGAGCTTGCCAGTGCATTCCTTCTTTTTAAGAACGTACAAAATTGTTGATTTGGCCACTCCTAAATTCCTAAAGTAAATCTTTTATCACCTTAATTTGTCATGAAATAATGAGGAAATGTCAGGTCAACTCCCATAGCGAACTCAGTTTCCCAGAGCGCACCACGGCCTACAGACATGGCCACCCCGGACTACACATCCCATAACTCGTAAACTCTGACATGCTCACAATCACCAGACTTCTGATTGCACTCACCTGTTTCCAATCACATGCACACCCTTTATAAACAGACTTTGGACACTGCCTCATTACAAAGTAACGCTCTGTGTGCACACATCTGACTTATGAACCCTTCAATTCCGTGATTGTTATTCTGGTTGTGATCCTAATTGTTTCCTGGTTTCTGTATTTTTGGATTTGCCCCGTTTATGTTGTTTGTTGATCGCCTGACCATTGCCTGTTCACTGTTTTCGACTCTGCCTAATGATTTGGATTTGTCTGCCAGCTCTTCATTAAATACTACCTGCATTTGCATCCCTCTCCGCCTACTTTCTCTTGGCCATGAAACTGCTTATCAGTTAATTGTCCAATTACTTTTGATATATTTTTTTTCCTTACACATTGCTGGACCTTCTGAGCTGGGATTATTGAAAATAAGTCATTTTTCGGTAGTATTGTCATTTTTGTGGATGCTGTTTTGACAAGGGAATAGAGAAAGGTTTATCCAGCATAGGAGATCATTACTTATGGAATGCAGTAAGGGGTTAATGTTGTTTGTGTAGCTCTGACAGCTGGGAGGAGATTTTGACACCTAGGTATGTGATGGAGTCAGTACTTATGGGGATGGGTAGATATTGGTTTGCAGTGTCTGAAACGTTCATGTTGAGAGGAAGCATAGTGGATTTGGTCCAGTTCATAGAGCAATTGGATATTCTGGATTATTTTTCGATTGTGCGGATGGTTCCTTGTATTTAAGCAGTAGGGTTTTGTAGGAAAAGTAAAATATCATCAGCATATATGCTGATTTTATGTTCCATGTTTGATGTCTGGATACCACTGATATTTATATTTTGTCATATTCCTGCAGCTAATGGTAGGGACAGGGAGAGTGGGCATCTTTTTCTGGTGCCTCTGTGCAGTGTGAAACTTTGTGATATTATTCCATTAGTAATAACTGTGGCCTTGGGTGAAGTGTAGACAATTGTAATCTATTGAATAAATGATTCCCCAAAGCCTAATTTATTTAATGCGGTAAATAAGAATTTCCAGTTCACTTTGTTGAAGGCCTTCTCTGCATCAAGTGGTACTACTGCTGATGCAAAGTTTTAATGTGAAGTTTTAATGTATAATGTATCATGTTGAGAAGTCTGTGCATGATGGTTGCTCATTGTCTGACTTTATTGAAGCCAGTTTAAAAAATAACCGTTTCTATTCTGGTAGCTAAAGTCTTGCTTATGATTTTTGTTTCTGTGCTGATAATGAGTGATAACTGGAGGGTAGGGTGGGGTCTTTGTTGGGTTTTAGGTGTAGTGATATAGTGGTAGTATTCATTTATGTAGGTATTATATCATATCCTATTTGGGTCCCTGGAGGACTAGAGGTTAGGCATCTGTGCTCTCACTACCCTGGCCCAGGTTTGATTCCTGGCCAGTGAACCAACCCCAGCCACTGGGGTTGCACACGACAGTGCACTCCCAGCGCCGGTCCCAAGCCCAGATAAAATTGGGGAGGGTTGCGTCAGGAAGGGCAAATGTGCTAAATCAAATATGTAGAACAATGATCCGCTGTGGCGACCCCTAACAGGAGCAGCTGAAAGAACAACAGGATATCATATCCTATATAATTTCTATTATTAATCTGTTAAACACTGGTCCTGATATAGTCCAGAAGTGTTTATAAAACTCAGCAGGAAAACCCTCACTACCCCAAATAGCTTCCATAGAGTTATTATTGTACCTGGTGGTGAAAATGGGAAGGGGTTTGTCAAATTATTTCAAAAATATGCCACTATGATCTTGGTTTATAGCGAATTATCGGAATTAAATCTAATACATTTCTGCAAAGTGTAAGTACATACAGTGTGTTTAAACGTGTCAGTCTTTTCTAATGCCCAAACTTTTTGGGCTAGTTTCAGGTCTTTTGTGTAGTTTTTCACCCTGGTTAACAGTATTAGCTTTTCTGTGTGCACCTCACTGATGATGGGAAACACACCTGCTGTACTGAAAAGCGTTGCACAAAGGTACATCTAAAACCACTCAGAATGAGCTGCTTAGGCTGTATGCTGGACGACTGTATGTTTTCGACTCTCTCTCTCTCTCTCTACATATATATATATATATATATCAGCCATAACATTATGACCACCTGCCTAATATTGTGTTGGTCCCCCTTTTGCTGCCAAAACAGCCCTGACCTGTCGAGGCATGGACTCCGCTAGATCCCTGAAGGTGTGCTGTGGTATCTGGCACAATGATGTTAACAGCAGATCCTTTAAGTCCTGTAAGTTGCGAGGTGGGACCTCCATGGATCGGACTTGATGGCCAGCACACCCCACAGATGTTCGATTGGATTGAGATCTGGGGAATTTGGAGGCCAAGTCAACACCTTGAACTCTTTGTCATGTTCCTCGAACCATTCCTGAACAATTTTTACAGTGTGGCAGGGCGCATTATCCTGCCGAAAGAGGTCACTTCCATTATGGAATACCGTTGCCATGAAGGGGTGTACTTGGTCTGCAACAATGTTTAGGTAGATGGTATGTGTCAAAATAGCATCCACATGAATACCAGGACCAAAGTTTTCCAGCAGAACATTGCCCAGAGCATCACACTGCCTCCGCCAGCTTGCGTTCTTCCCATAGTGCATGCTGGTGCCATCTCTTCCCCAGGTAAACGATGCACACGCACCCGGCCTTCCACATGATGTAAAAGAAAATGTGATTTATCAGATCAGGCCACCTTCTTCCATTGCTCCGTGGTCCAGTTCTGATGCTCACCTGTCCATTGTAGGCACTTTTGGCAGTGGACAGAGGTCAGCATGGGCACTCTGACAGGTCTGAGAACCGACTGGTCACTTGCTGCCTAATATATCTCAACCCTTGACAGGTGCTATTGTAATGAGATAATCAATATTATTCACGTCACCTGTCAGTGGTCATAATGTTATGGCTTATGGATTATATATATATATATAATCACTTAATATAATCACTTAGATATGGGGCAATTCTCTGTCAGTGTAGTCAGTATATAGTCTGTCAGTATAGTTTAGGCATCTACTCTGGTTAGCATGTTCTGTTCTTTGGACATCTTACAATTCTTGTGGCACTTTTAACTTTTATATTCTGTCCTTAGAGCATCTTGACTTAAAATGCCTGTGTAAACTTAGGCCCAATCCCAATTCTATTTTATACCCCTTCACCTACCTCTACGCCTACCCCTTCCCCTTGTCCCTTGAAACAGAGTGTCAAGGGGTAGGGGTGAAAATATTCCCCTAAGAATTGGGACACCACTACTATACCGTTACACGTCATCATACGTCATCTAGGTCCTAATTCTCTCTCTCGAATTGGCAATATTTGAGAAAAAAGTTTAGCGATTTCTAATTACTGGGGGGGACTAGCCCCCCTCAATGTCTTTGGTGGTTACAGCCCTGATCAGACATGAAAATATGTTGTGGCACTATCTTGCAGTCTGTAATGATATGACGAAGAAGGACCATCCCAGATCAGTGGCATTATGTGAGCTCAGAGCATAATCCAGCTGATGTCGCAACGTAATCTCTTCAAATCTTACATCCATCTCTGCTGTAATTATTTCCATCAAGTTCACAGAGTTCCAGTTCCAGGCTGAGTTCCAGTCAGGTATTGTGCATTCTGGTCGTGGCGCTAACCTTGCTTTGCCTGTGATGAGCCCTGTATGGCAGTTACCATCCTTGTCTATGGCTCTGAGGTACGCAACTGCTGTGATTACTCTCTCAGAAGCATCAGAGAAGACACAAAGCTCTTTAAACTTGGCGCCTGACAGTGATGTGTGCCCATACCTTCTTGGGATTTGTACATGCTGCAATTCTTGGAAAGAATCTCTTCATTCTCCCACAATTTTTGTTTATCTGTGGGTAAGAGAGCATCACAGGCAGCAGAATTTAGAGTCAGCTCCCCCAGAAGAGCCTTGCCTTGAACTGTTACAGGAGCCACAAATCCAAGTGGATAGTACAAGCTGTTTACTACCGATAGTACTCTGTGTCTAGTGAAAGGCCTTTTATCACTCTGGACTTGAAAGGTGAAGCTGTCTGCATCCAGATTCCAAAGCAAGCCAAGACTACCTTGCATGGGAAGCGGGCCAGCACCTAAATCCAGAGCTTTCAGCAAGCTGGCATGAAGCCAGTTTATGCAGCCTCAAAGTTAGAGCCAGACAACATGTTCTGGGTCCTCTTTGGCAAATCAGTTGCCACTTCTGGGGAGGGTAAGGATTTTAGTCCATCGTCCATGTAAAAATCTCGCTCAATGAACTGTTGAGTATCTTGACTGAATTCCTCTTCACTTTCTTGAGCTGCACATAGAAGGCAGTAAATGGCTACTGTAGGAGAGGGACTATTCCCAAATACATTCACTTTCATGCAGTATTCCATGATTTCATTCTCTGGGTTGTCGTCATGAAACCAGAGGGACCTCAGGTAGTTCCTGCCTGCTGGTCATACTTTGAAGCAGTGGAAAATTTGTTGTATGTCCACAGTGAAAGCAACAGGCTTTCTCCGAAAGCACATGAGAACTCCAAGGAGACTGTTACTGAGATCGGGTCCAGTTAAGAAAACCTTATTCAGCGAGAAAACTTTGTGCTGTGCACTTGAAGGCTACAAAGTCTTTTTTCATTTCAGGCTTTCTCTTGAAAGATCATTGTAGCGAATTAAGTTGTTCCACAGCCAGTGAACGACTGACTGAAGACATGGCCTTGGCTGTCTGAATGGAAGTGGGGAAACCCATGAATTTTACTCATCTTTGTAGATCTCTTTGTCCATGATCCATAGGAAAAGCATGTCTTCAATAGACAGGGCTATCTTTTCATCATCTTTTGTTCTCTGAAACACATTCCATACTGATATCTTTTGAGTCTCTCCTTTGAGAAGATCTCTGTGAGGCTTGGGGAGTGATAAACCTAGACAACCTATCCTTAACTTTGTAGTTATTAGGACACTGGTGGAAAAAGGTAGGCTGTCCATTCCCCAAAACATTAGTGCTAAGTTTGAACGAAGGCACGTATCTCCAATAATTACCTAGCCTAATTCTAAGCTTAGACTTACGGGTGCATAAGGTGCACTGGGTGGCCCATACACTTGTTTATGGGCTTTATTATATCTCTGCTCAACAGAAGGAGAATGTAGGCTTGGTGATTGAGCTCTGGAATACTCTTTGCAAGATGTTTCAGGTGAGTAGGGTTAAGTGCCACTTCTGGAATGGGGATCTCTGAACAATTGTCAGGAATCTCGTTGCACTAAAGTAATACTGGCAATGGTAAAACTATGCTTCCTTCAAAAGACTCCAGCTGAAAGCCACGTGCTTGTCTACCTTCTGTTTCAACTGTACCTGCGCGTGTTCTGAGAGTGTATGGTACATTACAGTCTTTAATGCCAAACAGGTCAAAAAAGTCTGACCTTGCAAGCAATCTGTTGCTCTGATCGTTTAATATTGCCTGACTGCCTTGTCTGGGTGTCCATCAGGATATACATTCACCAGGCAGATTTTTGAGCATGAGTGTGTCAATTGGTTGTTTCCACATAACCCTGTGCAAGCTGAGGAAGCTCCTGTCTCTACAGGTATGTCCTCACTTTCTCTGTCATTCTCTAGAGCTGGAGATTTTGAATCTTTGGACCATGGTGCTAGACCTGGATGAAGTGCTGCAATGTGAGTGAAACTGCCACATTCTAAACACTTAATGACTTGGTCACAGGTCTTTGCCATGTGTGCAGTAGAACTACAGCATTTGTAACATATGCCATGTTGCTTTAGCAATGCTTTTTTTTTCCATAGGTTTCACTCTGAATCCCCTATACCTGGGAAGAGGATGAGGCTTATTGTGGCGCAGGCACTGTTCTGCCAGGTCTACTTTATCCTTGAGGCCACTGAAAGCTGATGGATTTTCAGAGGAGACCTGAATTTTGTATGTGGCAACAGCCCTTGTGTTGTAGGTACAGCCCACATGTACCCTTAAGTATGCTTTTATGCGTTCTTTTGTGTCCCCTACTGGCAACTCTATTTTGCTCAAATTCTCTCCACTTTCATGCTCTGCAGCTATCTCTAAGGCCTCTGCCCTTGCCTGTATAGCCGCAGCTCTCTTTTCAAGCTATAGAGTTTCTAATGATGCCTCCAGTTGTGCTTGCTGTATTTTAAGTTCACTTTATTTTTTGGCAAATGCTACTTCAGCTATAGCTGCTTGAGCCTCTGCTCAAGCCACTGTAGCAGCAATTACAACAGCTGATGAGCAGTGTGAGCACCAGGATATGCATGATGCATTGGATCTGTGCCTCAGTGATCCAGACTTGGAACTTGACTTTGACATCGTAGGAAGGAAGGTTTGGCTTATGAGCTGGCTTGCGCCTCGTTTTCTCACACACTGATGAGAGCAGCTTATTTTCTAGAAAAATAGAAAAAATAATTTCC